CTCTCACACCCAACCCTTTTTCGAGGGAAAACTGGAAAAAAAAATGTTCCGGTGGAGGGTGTTGGAAAAGTGGGAAGTTGGAAAAGTTGTAGGTGGGTGAACGATTGCGAAAGGGAATCCTATCAGAAGAGGAATATTATTATGCAATATTATGCAGAAGTTTTCTCCCGCGACAGGAGGGGCAGTAGGGCAATTTTTCCCGGACTAAATGGCACTAATTTTTAGCAGTATTTGATTGCAATCTGTTTCATACCACTGTTTTATTTGCCGGAAAGCTGACGAACGCAAGCAGATTAGGTTACCCTTCAGACGGGAATTGGTACCATTTGCTTGAACTGAGGGGTGGGAGGGTCCGTCCACCTAAGCAGTATTTGATTCGGCATTTGGTCCCCTGGGTTGCAAGTATGGTAAGCGCTATTACTTGTCATTACACCTCACCTGGGAGTTGTTGGGTCTGGGGGTTGTTATCAAAGTGTAATTGGATTTTACATTCCGTCTCAAACATCTTGCACTCTTTGAGAGAGATGGGGAAACCTATGCATTTGGAATGGCCATGTGCATTAAATAGCCTCTAGCCTCATATGATAGCTGATGTTTCGCATCTTTCTAAATTCTCTGTAAAACCCCCATAGAAGTAGCGATGTGGGCCGTTGAGGTGTTCGACGAAATACACAGGGAGTGGAATCATTTATTACGCTACGCACAACCCTTTTATCCGAAATTATACCAGTCCTCTGTAGCTAGCTTTTCATTCTTTCACTTCTCGTCTTTCGGCAATCGTTCTGCCACTACTGTAAGGAGCGGGTTTGAAGTTCCCACACATGGTGCACTGCAGGTCAGATAATACAAGATGTTGGACAAGTTTGAAAGACTCCTTTTTCTGAGATTAAACTGCCTATTTTTAAGTTTTACGTCATCCTGTTTTGAAATCAGGTCAGGGAACGAGAGCGAATATCTCTGCACACCAGTCCCCTTCCCCGCTCGCATACGTTCCCCCCCCCTCCCCTCCACCCCGAATACTCTATTGAATGTATTATTTGCTTCTGCTCTGCTGAAGAGTGCCATAGCATCCAGGCTTAGAAAGGAGGGCTTGTCGTACATTGGTGACTCCCAACGAGGGAGGGTCCTATATGGTCGCTTGAGAAAGGGAGTGGGGTAGTATCTGTTTTTGAAGAAAATATTTTCAGTTGTTTTGACGTGGGTAGTTTTTTAAATGGCTTTTGAGGAAAAATATTATTTTCGGTTGTTGACGTTCCTCGGTGCTTTGACGTCAATTTTTTTTGGGGGGAAAAGTGGAAGACTTTCTAGAAAGAAGCAGAAAAATAGCAAGTAAGTTGGGGCGAAATTCGGAAGCGATGGTAGCGTAAGTTTGGCGAATTTTGGAGGGGGTCGGTAGTACAGCGTAATTTTGAGAGGGGGAAGGCGGGCGGTTGTATTTCGCATGATGTTTTCCCAACGGTAGTACCCTGGAAATCGTTATTTGTGCTATTGCACTAGTGTTTTATCTAAATTTGTTTGTTCAGAACGCATGGATCTCATAGGGGCGTGCAAAAATGCAAAATACCCCCTCCTCCCTCAACGCGAACTGAACTGAAAGTAGACCGCTTTTGTTGCGCGAGCACCTTCGAACCAAGTTTAGAGGCGTTGCAAGTCAGAGCAACATTCATAAAAGCTGTGCATCAACCTTCTGAGCACGTGTAATGCCATGCGAGACTGAGATATTGACTGAACAAAAAGCCGCGGCAATTCCCAGCTTCGTCTTTTGGCGAAAATTATGGAATTGCTTAGATGAATGCATTGGAGCCCGTTGAGTTAGGTGGCCTTTAATGACTTCTTGCACATCTGCTTCAAAGGCTGATATTCAGTAGTTGCCATTGGCGCAATTTGCCGACGGGGGGTGGGGGGAGGCATTCTACATTTCGCTGCTTCACTGGTTCTGGTTTACAAGTCTCACTCTGGTGAAACCTGTGAACTCTTGTGAAACTCGTCAAGCTGTCATGGTAAAACCTGTGAACTAGAGAAGATGTTGTCTAGATGGGTCGACACACGTCGATGGGAAGTCGTTGAAATGCAAAATGCCCCTCCTCCCATCCCCCCCCCCCCCGTCCGCAGCCAAAGCGCCGTATCAAAATAGAAGTTCTGGAATTGAATATCCTCATAATTTCAATGGGATGTGTGATTAATTTGACATCTACTCTTTTTCATTTCAGGTTCGCGATTTTCTCAGCCGACAGCATCGCCCCATTACGCAGCCGACATGAGATCGCCACCGTTAATGTCGCCAACGCAAGCGCCAATGGCCCCTCAGGCTGCCATGCCACGTCCAATGAGCAACGGTACGAGTCATACTGTCGGAGTTTTGCTGCTGTTCGCCAAGGAGGGGGCATTCAGAGGATTATCTGTGCAAAACCTTAGCCAACAATCCATTAGGCAACGATTTTTGTTACCTTACCCGGAGCTCCTTATATTTTTTGGCCTGACATCCTACACTAGCTAGCTTTACGTTCTAAAAACTCTGCAGTAACTTAAAATCCTCACTCTTACCGGCTTAGTGGCAAATTTATATTTTATTTTCTGGATTTTTCGGAATTTTTCTGATTGTGCATTTCGTTGATTTGTTTTCCACACGTGTACGTTTTTGAGTGAAGTGCATTTACCTTCAGGCGACATGGTTACGCAACCAATACGTATGGTCCCGACTCCTCAGCAACCAGTTATTCCTAGTCAATTTTTCACTTATGAGCCGAATCTTCTTATGAATGGTGAGATTCAAATTCTCCCTGTTAGGCTTACGTGGGTTTACTTCTGTTCCTTTTTTTCGTTTTTTTCTCATCAATGTTAGTTTTTTTTGTAAATTGAAATGTTGGGATTTGGGAAATGCTCTCAGAGTCACGCTCCACGATTTCAAATCGTGAGTAGTGAGGCTTGAACTGCTCGCGAAAGTGTTATGTAATCCAGGGGTGAAGGAAAAACAAAAAAAAACTTCAAAACGACTTGCTAAGATAACCGAAAAGAAAAGGGCGGAGTCTGACCTCCAGGGGCGGAGCTTGGCCAGCATGCGAAGCTTAAAGGCACAGTTCGCGACCGCAAATTGCGGGAAACGGAACTCAAATAGGCACAAAAAAGTGCTAAGTATCTGATTAGCGGAGAAAAGCAGCAGTCCGAAATGTTGTAGAGAAAGATAACATAGGGCTACCTAGCCTAGTAGCTAGCAGCCGTGGGATGAGGACAGAAGAGGGCGGGCTGGAGAGGAGTCTCCACCTACCAACTCAGCTGACTATTGACCACTTCGACTATTGGAAATAACAGTATATCCCCCACCCCTCCTTTCGCCTCAAGGGATTCCAGCATCGTTGAGAAAAGAAAAAAATAACTATAAAAAGAAGCTCCCTTAGCCGAACGCGACTCCCCTCTTATCAGAGATCAAATACCACCTCCGCTGGGACTATCCACCGTACGAGGTCTTCTACAGTACAGACTAGTGGAAACACCAGACGTTTTCCAATGAACCTGGCAACAAATCTATAAGCCGCCAACAAAATAACTCCGATGACGTCCACATGAAAAATACGTGCCGCTGCAATTGACAATGACAGACGACTTGCGAAAACGTCATTCCATCTGGACACGCCAATTTACATGACCTAGTGACGTGTTCATCAAATTTCACGAAAGAATTTTCTACCACGAAACCAGTGGGCACTTGAGACAATGCAGGTCCTGCCGTTGGGAAGAACTTTTGCAAATAACTACCCCGTCCCCCTTTAAAATTCCTGCTTTAGTACTACACTACCTCCCCTAACTGTCATCTCCTGAACTTCCCAACATCCTACCGCTTTCCCGCTTTTTTTGCCAAAAAATTTATTCAATTTTCCCCAAAAAGTACAGATGAGGGGGTGCACACTGGAAACACTCCTCTCGAAAACAAATACTACCTCTTGCTTCTTCCAGTGACCAGATACGACCCCCACACCACACCCCTGCGCTCGATCAAAAATTGTAAATGAACCATATTTATGAAAAATCACAGCCAACAAAACAGCTTACTAGTACGAAATGAAGATACTAACAGCAAAGCTGCTGACTCACCGTTAGGCGTATAGGGCGTTTGTGGTGTCTGCGGAGTATGAGGTTGTGGTGCGGCGCTTGGAGCGTATACTGAAAACGAGAGAATATTTTCAAAAGATAGTTACAATTAAGTTACCTACCGCCTATTGATAGCTTCTGATAGCCCCTTTGCTTTTTGGCCATTCCTTTGCGCTGATTTTGTTATTTTTCACTGCTATTGTTTATTTTTCCAACGTGTTATAACATCGAGGAGAACAGAGAGGTAATTCTTCATCAGCTGATTCTGCGCAAAGAAAGCTTGGATCTGGCCAAATAAGAGATAAGTGATGGTTTTTTTCATAACACTAACCAACTGCTAGTTTTATGCGTTCAAAAGCGTAGTTTTTTTTTCATATTCCAATAATTATCAT